CTATCATTTATTGCTCTGCACCCTAGCCTGAGTTTTAAAAAAGTGCCCCACAGCCATGGTACTAATAATGATAATCCTGTCTCCTAGCAGTTTGCTTCTGGCTGCCTCATCCCAGGTTTCAGGTGAGGTGCATTTATTTTTTATGACCCAGTTGTCAACTATGGAGAAGAAATGGTCTCCAAAAGGGAGGGCAGGAATCATCTTCTTGCCAGGGGCTCTACCTGGAGCTTCCTAGTGCTTAATCCCAAATTGCCCTTTGAGGTAGGGATTGTGATATATCTGTTTTTCAGGAGGAGGAGCCGGGCCCAGAGAGGTGAAGTCACTTGCCGAAAGGCACGCAGTCTTTAAGTGGCAGAGGCAAGGCTGGGATCCAGGTGTGCCTGACTCTGCATCTGACACGTTTGTTCTTTGTACTTTGTCACTTTGGTCCCATGTTGTGACAGAGGCCAGGTGCTCTGGGGTCTGACCCACTGTGTGTCCTCAGGTCACTTAATCTCTCAGCAGCCTCAGTTTTCCACCTATAAACTGGGAAGGAGGACACCCAATTCCCAGGGTGATTCCAAGGATGGGTCTCTTGAAATGTCTGACATAAGACTTGGACCTTCCTCAGCTGGATGGCCCTGAACCTGTGTCTTTGCCTCTCTGAGCCTTGCTTTCCTGCTCTCAGGTGGACAGACCCACTCTGCCTTGTTGGGTAGAAGTAACTGGTAGGTGCTTGGTGAATGGTTTTCTTCTCCCCAGGTCACAGACTTTGCCTGTGCAGAGGGAAAACTGATGGGGGGGGGTAGGTGGGCAAGGTGGAGCCTCTCAGGAAGGGGCACAGGGCTCTTGGCCCTGGTGGGAACCTGTCCTGTCTTCTGAGCTCTCCATAAGCCTTACCCCCTGTAATCCCCATAGGGTGTCTTCAGAATGGGTTGAGTCAGTGTCCAGAGTTTTCTTCCCAGAGCTGGCTACAGGCACCAGGGGTAGAAGGGTGGGAGTGCCCTGTAGGTTGGCTTTGGAGATGGATGTAGGGTACCCCACTGGCCCTGGAGGGGAGCGCTGGGTTCCATGCCTGTGAGTGAGTTGCTCCAAGCCAGCCCTACTGGAGGACCCTGGGGGAGGCAGGCCTAGGGAAGCTCCACTGCAGCAGAGGGCAGCTTCTGGCTGCACACCTTGTTCCTATGCATAGCCCTGGGCTCTGCTTGCAAGCCTGTGACCCACTGTCTCAGAGTTCCTGGGCCCAGCCCTTGTTTCCCAGCCCTGGCCTTCTGTCTGAGACCCTAACTGCTCCCCAGTACTCGCTCCACCACGCCCCTTTTGTTCACGCCCCCTCCCACCCCAGCCCAGTGTCCAGCATGTAGCACTCTGTGTGTCATTGTCCATTGGCACATCTATGTCACTTAGGGGACTAGGAGTCCCTTGAGGGCTGGGCCAGGAGTGATTTACTTCCCTTGGTGTTTGGGCATGAACCTGGGCATCAGTGGGCAAAGTGTCCCCCGAAGGTGGAGCAGAGCCTAGAGGGACAGAGGTGGTGACCAGTATTTATTCAATACCCTTGAATGCTCGCCTAATGTGCTGAGTGCTTTACAGAGAGACTCACTTGATCCTTTGGACTGTGGATTATTACTTTCCCTTTAAAAAGCGGAAACTGGGCCTCCATGCAGGTATAGGCGATGCGGGCAAAGCCACAGGGCTGGGAGTGCGGAGTGGAGACTGTGTCTGCTCCTGCCTGCTGCGACTCCAGGCCTGGCTGCTCTCTGCATCTTAGGAGTCCCGCGAGTGCGCTAAACTCAGCCCAGTTGAAAATGAAGAGAACATTTTGGATTTCATTTTTTTCCCACAAAATTACTTGCAATCTTTGGTTGACCTTGGGATTTTGACTGCACCAGACAAACCCCAAGCATCTCGCAATCAGATTCTTTTTTCATGTACTGATTTTTTTTTTTTAAATTGAAGTAAAACATATAAGAAAGTGTACAGATTGTGCTAGTTTTAAATGAATGACTCAGAGATGTTTATATTCTTGAACACTTTGGCAAACACCTCCCTCCAGATCAAGATTTTTTTTTTTTTTTTTTCTCCGGTACCGGGAACTGAACTTACGACCTTGCGCTTGCCAGGCAGGCGCTTTTGCCGCTGAGCTAAATCCCCAGCCCCTAGATCAAGATGTTAAACATACCTCCTTCTGCCAGAGGTTCCCAGAGCCTCCTCCTAGGCAGTTCTTAGCACAAGTGACCCCATGCAGAGTCCCACCTGCCATCTCTTACTTGGGGTTACTTTTGCCTGTTTTTGGGCTTCATGTAAATAGCCTCACACTGTGTGTGTGTGTGTGTGTGTGTGTGTGTGTGTATTTTTGCCCTACTTGGGAACGAGCCCAGGGCCTTTGCACTGAGCTACATCCCATTCTTGTTTTGTTCTTTATTTTGACACAGGGTCTTACTAACTGGCTAAGTTGCCCAGGTTAAGCTCGAACGTGTGACCCTCCTGCCTCCCAGAGTACTGTATCACCAAGTCCAGCTTGAATTCGTGTTAATGGTATTTCAGGTGGGCCGTAGGGGGATACTTAAGGTTAGATGAGGTCCCCAGGGTCATGACCCCACAATGGTATTGATAGTCTGCAGGAAAAGAAAAGAGACCCGAGCTAGCAAGTTTGCTCTGCCTCACCATGGGATGTTACCATGCAGTAAGCAGACCCTTACCAGATGCCAGCACCGTGCTTTGGGATACAGCCTCTAAAACCATGGGCCATATAAACCTCTATTCTTTATAAATCACCCAGCCTCAAACTTTTCTATAGCAGTAGAAAACAGATGGAGACAGTGACTTTTTGGGTTTGACTCTGCATTGGGCCCATAAAACTCCTGCGTGTGTTTGCTTGTGTCAGTGTCTCGATCTTTTTCACTGCTGCATAGAACTCAACCACTGGGTGCTCTGAGCAGAGCCTCCTTTGTGAATCTCTTCTCCCTTGATAGATATTGGGCTGTGCATTGATGTGTTCTACTCACTGAACTTATTTCTGTTTTTGTGATTTTTGATCCAAGGAGCAGCTTTTGTTGGGCACTATGCATAGGTGTTTAACAAACAGTTAGTTTTTTACAGGTGTAAAAAACTATCCTCCTGATCCTAATCACAATCAGATCCTATCAGCTGGGCCAGAAACATATATATTTATTGGTTCATGTTTTGTGTTTCCTAAGAGACATGGGACTGTGGGGAAGCAAAAGTAGCAAATGAGGTTTTGCGAATGTTTTTCCATTCTGTCCTTCACCTGAGCCAAGTGGCAGATGATGGAGTCCACCTGTAATTTAGAATCAAATGCTCATACCTGACAGTGGTGCTATAATGAATGTGTTGCTGCTGTCCTCCCAGCGTCCTTTCTCTGCTACTTTGAAATCTCATAAATACTGAGAGCATGTTGGTAAGATGCCTGCCTTCCTTTCCTCTGCTGGCTCCAGTGGAGCAGCTGTGGTTGCTAGGTTGAGCTCCTGGTTGCTAGGGATTCTGCGGTCCTGTGGTGGCCCAGAAATATGATGGATCAGTGGAACATGCTTTTGCTATTAATTGAAATGTTTCCACAGTGAATCTCTCAATGTCACCACATGCTTTGATGTCGTCCCAATTGGTCAATGAGCCTTATGCATTTCCCGGTTAGAAGAGTGGCTTGAGTGGAAGGGACAAATGGCTTGGGATGGGAGTCAGAAAAGCCTACTTTAATCTTGTGTCTGATGCTAAATTTGCTGTGTGACCTTGGGCAAGCGGCGTCTCATCTCTGAGTGCGGGACTTTTACAGAATTTAAGGACCTGTCAGCTTGAACAGACCATGGTTCATCACCCAAGTTCTCTGAGCTGGTCGACTGCAAGTCAGTCTCTCAGAATTCTGGCACCAGAATTCCTGTTCCCGGATCACTTCCTCTCCTCCACAGGCTTTTGGGCTGAGTCTCCTTGGCCAGATGGCATGTGCACAGGCGTTCCAAACTCATTTTAATATTCAATCAAACATAATTGGGATCATAAATCCGAAAAAATACATCAAAAACCCTACAACCCACACACATTTGGTCATGTCATTTTTCTCTTTCCTGCTGATTAAAAAATGTTTTGGCAGTTTCCCACTGCTCTTCTGGGGATGGCAGTCACATTCCATTTTGGTCACTAAGGCGGGTTAGTTGTTGGTGGTGGCAGACAATGTCCTGAAATGAATCTGGACTCACTGGCTTGCTGTGAGATCCTGATTGATTAATGATGTCTGCATGGGCCCAGGAATGGATACGGGAGCACAGGTCAGTACAGTCCTTGCCAACCATGGCTAGAGTTTAAAGCCCGTGCTCTTTAATATTGTGCTTGAGACCTTCAAGCTCTGATCCCACTGGCTTCTCCTGCCTTGTCTCCGCCCTTTTCTGTCTGATCTGTCTCCAAAAATAACATGCAGTGGGCCATCAGTTGTCTCTGAAAATCTCCTTTGTGTATGTGGCTTTTTTTTTGCCTGTCAGGACCTCTGTTACATTAAATTGGTCAACATTGCCTATTTATCTTGCAAATGTCAACGGCAATTTTGTCTCATCTTGTAGAATATCCTGTTTGACTTTCTAGGATGGGCTGACTTATCCCTTCTGAAAGCTTAGATCTAGAGTCTCCCGCATAGCTTTTTCCCACTTCATTCCTGTTATGAATCTTTCCTCTTCTACCTTGAGAAGGCCTCAAAGTCAAGGTCTGGGTATGCTTAATCTCTGCAGCCTTGGGCCAGATTCAGCACAGAGCAGTGCCTCAAAAAATCTGTCTTGAATGTATACGGGAGTGACTAGAGAACACCCTGAATCTCAGCGTCACACCAAAGTGATTTTTATAATTTCCCCAGCAGTCGGAGTTTGGATGCTAACACTCCTTAGCCTAATCATGGATAATTTACTGTGGTAATAAACTGACCACAAGTCCTCCAAGACTGACCCCGGGCAAGTCATGAATTTGCATTTTCTCTCTGATGATGACCTCTTTTTCTTTCTCTCTCCCTTTGCTCTTAGCCTGAAGACAAGCAGAAGGCAGCAGCAGCCTTTGCCCAGCTCCAGGGTGCCATGGAGACTCTGGGTATCACAGAGGGTGAGCGGCGGGCCATTTGGCGGGTGCTGGCGGTCATCTACCACCTCGGCGCTGCGGGCGCCTGTAAAGGTACGTCCCTGCTGCTTGGCCCACCTGGGTGGCCAGCTGTCTCCTTTGGCAGGTGTCTGACAAGACCCTTCTCTCAGCGAGGTGAGGATAGGATCAGTCTGTCACCATCCATGTCTCTGGGGCTGCTCTTTGAGAGGCTGTGAAACCAGGGATGGTGAGACAGAAATGGACTGGAGTTTTCAAGCAGATCTAGTCCAGCATTGTGCAAAGGGTTTTCTGCACTAATGAAGATGTTTTCTACCTATGTTGTCTGCAGCAGTGACCACCAGTTAGATGTGACTATAGAGGATTCAGGATACGGCCAGCATGACCAAAGAGTTGAGGTTTCAATAGTAGATTTAATTTAAATTTAAATGTAAGTGGCCAGCCACACATGGCTAGTTTGGGCTGAGCAGCTGTTGCAGATGTGTGAGAAGGTGGAGGCCGGCAACAAAGCTGCTGTTCCCCAGAGACACTGGGAAGGTGTCCCCAGTATATACCTGAAGGTTGACCGCGCCTTCTTTCTCCCCCTCTGTAACTGCCTGTTTGCTGATGATTCCTCTTTAAACTCTGGCCTCTCAATGGCTCCTTTCATCCCCCTTGCCCTTTTCCTCTTCCTACCCAGCCATTCACTGTGCCCCTACATACTCTCTGTGGCATCACTTCTATTCCAGCTTTATCTTTACTCTCATGACCTTAGACTGGGTATTTTCCCTTAAAAATGTTGTGCTTGGACTACTGGAATAGGCTTCTTGCTGATAGCTTCACTCTTGCTTCTTCTCCATCTCCATCTTGACTACTGGGTCTGTTCTATGACACTGAGCCATTATGTGTTCTCCTGTGTAGATTCTTCCTGGGATTTCCCCTCATCTGCTAATTCAAGAGAAATCTCTTGATTTGGCATGCAAGGCTCCTCACTTCCCCTCTCTGGTCCCTTCTGCTCTTTCTTTGGCACTGCACAAGGTTCTGGGGAGACAGTAGGGATCAGAAACAATGTGGCTCTTGCTTCATGGGGTACAGGGACCCTTGTATGGTGATCGAGTCCTCGCCTAGCTCCTTCCAGCAGAGAGCCACTTCCTTTGGGCTCAGGATATAGAGTTGGAACTTATTTGTGGAATAACTCATGTGTGAACTGAGGTCTGTCTGGTGACTCTGGTGATGTCTGAGTTGTCCCCTAAGGGATGACAAAGTCTTTGGGGGAAACAACGGCCATCATTCCTGCCATTTGCACATTTGTGGGTCTTGCGTTCCCTTCCTTTGATTATCATCCATTTGAGCCACACATAGCAACCCACTGATTTGATTCTAGAAACTTCTAGAAGTTGTGCTGAGTCAGGGATAAGTAGGATGGGAATGGCACAGTTAGTCCAAGCCAAGGTTAGGCACACTTGGCTGGGAAAATGTCACTTGCCCTCCCCAAAATTCAGCCATGAGCCATCGCGGGTTTCTTGGCTGTTAGGGTGTCACTGACATTTTGCCCAGGGGGCTCTGACATCTCTGTCTCAGGTACCAGTCACTGAGGTCAACCTGGCCCATGCATGCCAGGGAGTAAGGCTCTTATTCCCTTTCCAGCCTGGGGCACATATCTCTACCTGCATCGCTCCAGTAACCAGTCAGAGCCCCACCTCATGTCCTCACAGGGGTCACCCATTGCAGTCCCTATCCCTCATCAGCCTGCTCCCCACTTTTGTGCCATCTGTGAACTAGGAATAATCTGTAATGGAATAGTTTATAATGGAACGCATTTCCATTATATGAAAAAGTATATATATATATATATATATATATATATATATATATATCAGAATAATGTCAAGATGGGCGAAAATTATATGCTAGTCAGATTATAGTGTCCACAATTAAAGTTTTATTGGAGCCCAGCCACATCCATTCATTTACCTGTCTATGACTGCTTTTACTCAGGCATTTCATGGAGTGCAAAGTGGAATGTAATTATTAGTTGTCCTTTATAGAAAAAGTTTGCTGACCCCTATTCTGCACCATTTCCATGGAAGGTCACGGTGCTCCAAGATCTTTGTGCCTCTGCATCACCCACTTGTTTGATTGTGCTCTGGAAAATTCCTCTGTTCTCCTCACATTCAGCCGGGTCAGGGAAAGATACCAAAAATCCAGCTCTGTTGGTAATTAGTCCTGTCAAGCTTTGCCTGTCTTGATTTGGTCCATATACAATGTGCACATGTATTAAAACATAAAATCGTTCTGCATAAATATGTACAATTATAAGATGGCCATGAAAAAAACAGAAGAGGAACCCACTTGTAACCCCAACTTGCTGTGTTACCTTAAGCAAATCAGCTGTCTCTCTGGTCTCAGTTTTCTCATATGTGAAATGCTGGAGTTGGATCAGTCTCAGCCCATTTTCTGTTGCTATGACAAAGCACCTGGGGGCTGAGTGGTTTATCAAGAAGAGAAGTGTATTTGGCTCACAGTTCTGGAGGCTGGAAAGCTCCAGACCATAGCACTGGCATCTAGTAAGGCCTTCTTGCATAGTCTTGTGTGATGCGGTGGAGGCATTCCATGGCAAGACAGACAGGGAATATGTCAGAGACATAAGAAAACCTTTCCCCCAAAGCTGTGAAACCATGATTTCCTCAATGGATTAGTCCATAGATGAGGGCATTTACTCCCAAAGGCACTAAACAGTGCTATGCTAGACCCTTAGTTTCCAAAGCATGACCTTTAGGGATGCAATCAAACCCCAGGACTGCATGAGAGGGTGTTTTTGTTTTGTTGTACTGTGGATTGAATCCAAGGCCTTTGCACTGAGCTGTATCCCGAGCCCTTTCTTTATTTTGTATTTTGAGACAGGGTCTGACTAAGTTGCCCAGGCTGGGCTGAAACTTGTGATGTTCCTGCCTCAGCTTCTCAGTGTGCTGGGATTATAAGCGAGCATCACTATGCCTAGTTTGTATTAGAAGTTTTTAAAACTGGGGCAGGTACTGCCCCCCCCCAAGCAAGTGTTCTCTGTGTGTATTTCAGGGTGTGTTCATTTCCCAAAATGCTGTAACAAATTACCACAGCTGTGATGGCTTAGAACTATAGTCATTTCTTCTCTCCCAGCGCTGGGGTGCAGAAGCCTGAAGGCATGGTGTCAGCAGAGCCACACTTCTTCAGCAGTTGCAGGGGAGATCTGTCCTTGCCTCTCCCAGATTCTAGTGGGTGGCTGTGGGCGTTACGTGCCCTGCGGCTGCGTCACCCCAGCCCCAGATTCCAGCTCCTTGTGGTCTTTTTCTCTGGGTTGCACTGCCTCCTGCCTCTTCTAAGCATATTTATTACTGGGCTTGGGGCTCACTGGAGTAAGCCTGGATCTGCTTTTGAGATCCTTAACTAAATTATACCTGCAATTATACCCTTTTTCCAAATCAGTCATGATTCATGAGCGCCGGCAGTTAGGATGTGGAGATAGCTTGTGGGCCACCACTGCACTCACCGTAGGGAGTCATGATAGATGCTGAAATGGTGAGGGATGTGGGTTTTTTCACAGACAGCTGGAATCTGTAGCTTTCACCAAGTGGATACACTTAGCCCCTGGAAGTTCAGGAACTACTGGAACTTATGAAATCTGGAAGCTATCCCAGATAAACCTGCCTGGAATAAGGGTTCCCCTTTCATGTCGTTCTAGTATTTTAAACCTAGAAAAGACCGTAGAGAAGCATCACATTCTACTTAAGATGTAATGGTAGTCATAGAAACCACAGCAGGAGGAGCCAACCTTTTCATAGCACTGATTGTACATCAGGCTATGCTCCAGGCATCTTATCTGTATTCACTCATGAAGTCCTCCCACCAAAGCCAAGATGTGGCTGTTATTGCTACCCCATTTTATGGAAAAGAAAACTGGAACACAGAGAGGTTAGATGACTTGTTCAGGGTTGCACAGCAAGGAAGTGGCAGGGTTGGGATCAGAACCTCCTCCACCTAGCTCCAGTATCTGAGCTCCTAGCAGCTGCACAGGGAGCAGAGAGGGGCCATCTAGGTTTTCCCAGAGAACATCTCTAAATACAGGGCCCTTTCCCAGGCCCAGAATGAGACACCCTTCATCCTGAGCACGAAGACTGGGGCCAGACTAGAACGTTTCCCTCAAACCTACTCTGCTCTGGGGGTACTGATTTCCATTGGGGGGAAGGAGAAGCAGGGGCTTGTCTTCCAAATTCATAAAGGACAGTGAAGATACTAGGATGGGAGCATCTGGTTGATGCATGTGACCATTTTCTTGGCCCTGATAGGATGGGGTTCCTTGACTGACAGTTCTGTCCAAGCCACACTTGTGGGGAAAGGATGTTGTTCCCAGAAGACTCAGGCTGCCATCTTGGTCTGCTCTCAGTGGGTGTTTACTGGGGAGGGGGCAAGGTTTTTCTTTTCAGCTTGGGTGGAGCGTGGGTTCCACCTTGCTTTCCTTTGACTGTGTCAGCAGTGGAGTCACCTCACACAGGATGAACTGTGAGAACATCGTTCTCTGGGGCCGGAAATAATTTGTTTCTTGCATCATGCAATTGACCCTGAGCTGAGGACTCCAGATACACTTGTAGCCATTAAGTGTTTTCACAAGAACTGTCTCAGTCATGGAGAGGAAGCAGCACTGACCTTGTGCTGAGATCTGTGCTGAACAGAAGGTGGGAAAGGAGAGGTGATGAGCATACTGTGCCTTCTTGCAAGTTTGTCATCTTGTGGGGAGGAATGAGATTTCTGAACTTGAAATCATCAGCTGTCTTTGTTCACTGGTGGCAGTTGAGACTGTGCTGGGGTAGCACAGAGCAGGCAGGCGTGGAAGTTCTGGAGAGGGCCTGAACATCGTGGCTTGGGGATTTGTGGAAGGAAGCAAACCCACTTAACAGATGGGAACACAGAGGCCGGAAGGCATAGGTATAAGCATAGCCCTGAACAACAGGGCCTGGATTTGCACATCTGGGTTCCAAACTGAACTTTGTTGAGCTTCTCTGTCTTCTTCCTGTGGGTTACACAGAGGGGTGATGTGAGCATTGAGTGGAATAAAGACAAGG